AAAATCTACATGTACGTTGGGCTCAGCTGAGACTCTGCTGGTCAAAAGTTAGAAGACTATCTGGGGGTATGTCTACACTAGAAAGTTAGTTCGAACTAGCGTTTTGCTAGTTCGAACTAGGCGTTAGTCCTCGTAAAATGAGGTTTCCCTAGTTCGAACTAAGGGCTGTGTAGCCCTTTAGTTCGAACTAGGGAAACCTCATTTTACGAGGACTAACGCCTAGTTCGAACTAGCGTTTTGCTAGTTCGAACTAGGCGTTAGTCCTCGTAAAATGAGGTTTCCCTAGTTCGAACTAAGGGCTGTGTAGCCCTTTAGTTCGAACTAGGGAAACCTCATTTTACGAGGACTAACGCCTAGTTCGAACTAGCGTTTTGCTAGTTCGAACTAGGCGTTAGTCCTCGTAAAATGAGGTTTCCCTAGTTCGAACTAAGGGCTGTGTAGCCCTTTAGTTCGAACTAGGGAAACCTCATTTTACGAGGACTAACGCCTAGTTCGAACTAGCGTTTTGCTAGTTCGAACTAGGCGTTAGTCCTCGTAAAATGAGGTTTCCCTAGTTCGAACTAAGGGCTGTGTAGCCCTTTAGTTCGAACTAGGGAAACCTCATTTTACGAGGACTAACGCCTAGTTCGAACTAGCGTTTTGCTAGTTCGAACTAGGCGTTAGTCCTCGTAAAATGAGGTTTCCCTAGTTCGAACTAAGGGCTGTGTAGCCCTTTAGTTCGAACTAGGGAAACCTCATTTTACGAGGACTAACGCCTAGTTCGAACTAGCGTTTTGCTAGTTCGAACTAGGCGTTAGTCCTCGTAAAATGAGGTTTCCCTAGTTCGAACTAAGGGCTGTGTAGCCCTTTAGTTCGAACTAGGGAAACCTCATTTTACGAGGACTAACGCCTAGTTCGAACTAGCGTTTTGCTAGTTCGAACTAGGCGTTAGTCCTCGTAAAATGAGGTTTCCCTAGTTCGAACTAAGGGCTGTGTAGCCCTTTAGTTCGAACTAGGGAAACCTCATTTTACGAGGACTAACGCCTAGTTCGAACTAGCGTTTTGCTAGTTCGAACTAGGCGTTAGTCCTCGTAAAATGAGGTTTCCCTAGTTCGAACTAAGGGCTGTGTAGCCCTTTAGTTCGAACTAGGGAAACCTCATTTTACGAGGACTAACGCCTAGTTCGAACTAGCGTTTTGCTAGTTCGAACTAGGCGTTAGTCCTCGTAAAATGAGGTTTCCCTAGTTCGAACTAAGGGCTGTGTAGCCCTTTAGTTCGAACTAGGGAAACCTCATTTTACGAGGACTAACGCCTAGTTCGAACTAGCGTTTTGCTAGTTCGAACTAGGCGTTAGTCCTCGTAAAATGAGGTTTCCCTAGTTCGAACTAAGGGCTGTGTAGCCCTTTAGTTCGAACTAGGGAAACCTCATTTTACGAGGACTAACGCCTAGTTCGAACTAGCGTTTTGCTAGTTCGAACTAGGCGTTAGTCCTCGTAAAATGAGGTTTCCCTAGTTCGAACTAAGGGCTGTGTAGCCCTTTAGTTCGAACTAGGGAAACCTCATTTTACGAGGACTAACGCCTAGTTCGAACTAGCGTTTTGCTAGTTCGAACTAGGCGTTAGTCCTCGTAAAATGAGGTTTCCCTAGTTCGAACTAAGGGCTGTGTAGCCCTTTAGTTCGAACTAGGGAAACCTCATTTTACGAGGACTAACGCCTAGTTCGAACTAGCGTTTTGCTAGTTCGAACTAGGCGTTAGTCCTCGTAAAATGAGGTTTCCCTAGTTCGAACTAAGGGCTGTGTAGCCCTTTAGTTCGAACTAGGGAAACCTCATTTTACGAGGACTAACGCCTAGTTCGAACTAGCGCTGTAGTGTAGACGTACCCTGGGTTTCTAGTCTGTTAGCCTGCACTGCATTATCTCCAGTTTTGGCTGATTGCTTATGAAGAACGAATACATTTGCCTACCCTTCTGAGATGTGTGCATACCAAGTAACACATGGCCCCAAAAATATGGGTAATTCGAACCTATTAGGCCATCTGTGAAGCTGTTCTGTCCTCCACTGATGACACTGCTGATTTTTGTGCACTACATTTATCACTGGTCTACATCATAAGTCAGATGTTTAGTGCGTGGTTTAGCTATTTTTGTAGCTGGTATGTATTGTGTTAAATGGCTGGTAAAAATTGTTCTCTAAACCCATGGCAGGGCCCTGTTCTGGCACAAACATCTCACTCTTTTGTGCACTAAGGTTTGAGTGGCCCATGCTTAGTGCTCAGCTGCTACTAGTGAATAATAGGTGTTCTATGGCTAAAATTAGAGGCTCAATCAATGGCTTCTTTTAATGTAGTCCAAGGAACTGAAAACAGTAATTCTCTAATCTCAGGAAGAACCTGCTTCCCCTTTCAGCTTTGTTCCACAGCTGCTGGCTCTCACTATCTCCCTTCCTGTTGGGGGAACCAGAATTAACTCTGATCAAGTCCAAAATTTGGACCAGTGGCAATGTGAGCACCAAAGCATCACAATTCCTTCATTATGTAACCTCAATACATAATGTTTGAAAGAGTCACAAGCAGTTCAAAGACTCTTTGCCATCGGGCATCAATTAAATGTCTTGCAAAGAACTGGCACGTCAGTATCGCTGGCAGTTAACGCAAGAAAAGACTTGATGCCTCTATATTAAAGTGGTTGAATTAATATCATTCAAGGATTGCTGGCCATGGACTCTAGCTACTTAAACATGGTGAAAAAAATTGAATTGGCAGCAAGAGTATGAAACACTAAAGAGAAAATGCTTGAATTAGTCTCAAAAGTGAAATTGCGTTGCCTAGCACTGCAAATTGCGTTCTCAGGAAACCAGCTGAATGCAACACCACAGAGAAAGAAACCTAGTCCTGTATAAAGTAACACCAGTGGATTTGCACCAGTGTTAGAGCAGAATTTGACACACAAAGTATATGCTAACTCCCTCAAGTCAATGGAGCTGTCTGGATTTAATTGAGGATATAGGCCATCCTCGCTATAAGTCCAAGATACATTGCAAAAAATGTGGACTTATCTGTTGAAAAAAGCCTGTAGTCTAGACATAGAGAGACGACTTAAAGCAGGGAATTTTTTTCCTGCGGCTGACTTCCATTTGTGTAAATTGTTTTTGTTTTTATTTTTGTTTTTTTGCTCAACTTAAGAGTGGGGAATGGGAGGACTTATAGGCTACGTCTACACTGGCCCCAAATTCCGGAAAAGTGATGCAAAGCAGGTAAGTCAGAATAGGGAAATCCGCGGGGGATTTAAATATCCCCCGCGGATTTAAATAAACATGTCCGCCGCTTTTTTTCCGGCTTGGGGAAAAGCCGGAAAAAAGCGTCTAGACTGGCGTGATCCTCCGGAATAAAGCCCTTTTCCGGAGGATCTCTTATTCCTACCTGAAAGCAGGAATAAGAGATCCACTGGAAAAGGGCTTTATTTCGGAGGATTGCGCCAGTCTAGACGCTTTTTTCCGGCTTTTCCAAGCCGGAAAAAAAGCGGCGGACATGTTTATTTAAATCCGCGGGGGATATTTAAATCCCCCGCGGATTTCCCTATTCTGACTTACCTGCTTTGCATCACTTTTCTGGAATTTGGGGCCAGTGTAGATGTAGCCATAATGTATCGGTTCCTACAAGCATCAACAACTTTAATGCGGAACGGATGTATACCGGGGCGACTTATAGCGAGGACGCTCTGTATACCCGTATGAGCATAGGGGCATCAGATTCCCTTACTGGTTGATAGGGAAAACATTTGTATGATTGTAATTTTTCTTGCACTGATGGTGTGTTTGGTTGGATGGTAAAATTAAGAACATTTCCAGGGAAGATCAAAATGAGATTACTTTAAAGCCTGTCTCAGACTGGAATTAGAGAATAACTGCATGTCCAAGCATCCTCAGCATTTTGATCAGGAACTTCAGGCAGTCAAAGGTGCCATTTTGTGCGGGCAGGAGGAGCGGAAGTCATGTGTACCAAGACACTGCTTGCTTTTCTTCACGTTCCCCTGACTATCAGGGATCAAGGAGAAAGTACACGGATTTTGTGAATTACTCCTTTGCCCCCTCCCTTCTCCAGCCAAGAGTGAGAGGCATGTACAGATGCTGTGTACTTTCTGGGGAATTGAAAGAAAAGCAAGCCCTGTCCCAGTGCACACAGCTGCTGCCCGCCTTGCGGTCCCAAAATGGCGCCCTTGAAGGCAGTGGAATTTCCATAGTTTAGTGCATAGGGCAGATAGGCATTGCTCTGGAAATGTTAGTCACCCAAGGAAAAATTCTGTAGGACAACAACTCAAAAGTTCTAAAAAACATAGACAGAGAATAGTGGAGGAACATTCAGAATATAGCCACTGATATGTATCAGCTGTAAATGGATTGCTATAAACTTGTTGACTTAGAATATTAATATTGATTTAGTTATAAGTTTGTTTTAGTGCTAAACTTTGGGACAGAATCAATATAGCCTTTCAAAATCATTTAAAAACTTTTCATTTGTGAATACAGGCAGTCCCCGGGTTACATGGATCCGACTTACATCGGATCCTTACTTACAAACGGGGTGAGGCAACCCCACACTAGCTGCTTCCCCCCAGCAGACCAGGGAGATGCGAAGCTAGCGCCCCTCCCCCCCCCCAGCAGACCAGGGAGATGCGGAGCGGCTTTTCTCAGCAGACACCTCAGCTTGAGAATAAAGGACCGAGGGAAGTGAGGTGTGGGAGAATAAAACTGAGCTCTGGAGAAATGTTTGGCTAGAGTTTCCCCTACAATATGTACCAGTTCCGACTTACATACAAATTCAACTTAAGAACAAACCTACAGTCCCTATCTTGTACGTAACCCGGGGACTGCCTGTAGTTAGTGATTTTAATTCCCGTTTCTTTAAATGATTGGGGGGCGGGGAAATAGGAAAGCTGCTAGAAATCAGGATTTATTGAATATGTGACCTGATGAAGCTATTTATATTTTTAATTGATCTGGACACATTTTGCTTTCTTTGCAGTGCTCATTTTTGCCTAAATTCTCCATTCATATAGAAACAAAATATGAGGACAACAAAGGAAGCAATGACAATGTAAGTATGATCTCTTTTGAAAAAATAAGTTTTCAAACCTGAGCCAGGGCATTGTGAATTATGAAATTTTCCTGGGGCTTACATGGAAAAGAATGCTCAGCAGTCCTTAATATTTACCCCTGGATAACTAACTCACCGGCCTGCCACCATGGGGGGAAGGGACAGCAATGGGGGCAGTTGTCTGGGTCCTGGTGATTCAAAAGGACCCGGGGCTCCCAACCACTGCTGCCGTTGCCACAACAGTGGTGGCACGTGATGCTGGAGCACTGTGCGGCATGCACCAAATGGCTTTATAGGCTGTTTGCCCCAACTCCTCCTTTTCCACCCGAGACCCCACCCCTTCCAGAAGTGTGGTGCTGCCCTCCTCTTCCCACCTTGCCCAGGGGCCTGGCAATTCTGTTGGTCTCCCCACCAACTCGTCAGCATGAAGGGATGGACTTAGCCAACCTCTTGAGCCCTGGTTCAGCCCTACGTTTCTATGATTCCATGAAAGCTGTGCAACTTTAAAAGCATTATGTAAAGCAGTGGTGCTCAACCTTTTTTAATTCGTGACCACCAGGGATTTTTTTGGTTGAGAAAAAAAATACACTGGCCACAACTTTTTGTTGAGGCCCCTTTAATTTCAAGCGCCAGTCTGCTCCCCTGCCAATCCCCCCGCCCCCGCTGCGCCCACATCGCACACTAAGCTGAGAAAACAAAATGGCAGCCGACCCGGCGTTGTCACCCCCCAGGAAGACAGCCACGACCCCCATGGGTTGTGCACCCCTGATGTAAAGAAAGCACTTTACATAAAGAGTTTGTGCCTCTTATGTTACCTCCAGGATCCTCCTCCAAAATCAGTGTAATTCATGTGTGTGGATGTAGTGCTCATGAAGGATTGTGAAGAATGTGGGAGATATCTATAGTATATGTATATGACTATGTTGCTTAACCGGTGTGATATTATCTATGATTAAATGGAGCTGAATTAAGGGGGCTTGTTAGAAAAAACAAAGAGGAAACAAAAGAAGAGGCAGAGATAAGACAGCCCTGGCTAAACAACTTCAAGAGACCAATGGCTGAGCTGCTAAGTTGGAAGATGCTCTTCCCAGGCATCAGTCAAAAGTTACACAGCTGTTTTCTCGAGCCCAGAGCCTAGAAATCAAATTACCACAAACAGTTAAGAACTCTAAAGAAGGACGGAGTCAGTGGCCAGTGGTGGCAACCGAAGGGGAGACACTGACATAGGGACCCTGCCAGAGATAAAGATGAAGATGGTCACTCTGTCTGTCCTGGCCCTGAAGTTGGGGTTTCTGAGTTTCCTAGACTTGCAAGGAGAGGATAACATTAAGTAAAACTAGCTGCATATAGATTGTTGTTATTTTAACCCACTTCCCTGAGTGCTGTGATTCTTCTGGGGAATAAACAATGCGTTTACTTGGAAAAAGCTATTTTGAATCACTTTAGTCAGCTGCTGGACTCAGGCTATGAAGTTTCTAGGAGACAATTTCTTGCAAGTGCCAAATACTGTTGGACTGGTTGTGTTAACAGAGTGGAAGAATAGGGGGTGGCAGGCTGCATCCAGTTATCCAGTCTGAGTGACTGAATTGTAGGGTTCCACCCTTGGGGTGTGTCTAGACTACATGCCTCCGTCGACGGAGGCTTGTAGATTAGCCAGATCGGCAGAGGGAAATGAAGCCGCGATTAAAATAATCGCGGCTTCATTTCCCTCTGCCGATCTGGCTAATCTACATGCCTCCGTCGACGGAGGCTTGTAGATTAGCCAGATCGGCAGAGGGAAATGAAGCCGCGATTAAAATAATCGCGGCTTCATTTCCCTCTGCCGATCTGGCTAATCTACATGCCTCCGTCGACGGAGGCTTGTAGATTAGCCAGATCGGCAGAGGGAAATGAAGCCGCGATTAAAATAATCGCGGCTTCATTTCCCTCTGCCGATCTGGCTAATCTACATGCCTCCGTCGACGGAGGCTTGTAGATTAGCCAGATCGGCAGAGGGAAATGAAGCCGCGATTAAAATAATCGCGGCTTCATTTCCCTCTGCCGATCTGGCTAATCTACATGCCTCCGTCAACGGAGGCATGTAGTTTAGACATACCCTTGTTGAAGGAAGTAAACCCTGTCACACAAGGGGTGCAAAGGGTCTAAAACACAGACCATGACATGGGTGCTAGATGGCATCTTTGGAGACTGAAATCCTTTATTTCCCCACAAGGAAATACATAGTCCCATCCCTGACCTGGTGGAACCTGTCCTAGTGGTGAGGAAGTAGTTCAGGCAGATGCTTTTCCAATGAGAACTCACTGAGGCCATTAAGCAGCCCTTTCCATCACTGGTTACCTGAGCTGGATTCAAACCAGTGACTTAGGAGGAGAGGTGCCGTATATTCCTTTACTAGAAGACTTACCTGGCATTGCCTGGATCCTTTGTGGCTGGGGGCTGGTGGTGTGGAGGCTGCATGACTCGGGGTAGGGCCTTGGTGATGGGGGGATGGAGTGTAAGAGGCTGGGGGTGGAGAGGCATGAGTGTGAAAGTGAGGGTTGGGGGTAAGGAGGGGACTCGGGGGGGTCCCCTTCCTATTCCCCTCCAGCTGCCAGGGACATTTTCTCTCCCCCCCAGTCCTCCCACCAGCCACCAGGGGTGTTTTCTGTCGTCTCCCTCCCCCCAGCATCCAGGGGCATTTTCACTCTCTCCCCTCCTCCCCCCCAGCCATTCCGCTGGCCACAAGGGGCATTTTCTTTTCCCTAGCCCCTCCCCCAGCTATCAGAGACCTTTTTTATCCCCTGGCTCCCTCCTGCGCTGCAGCCAAGGGCCAGGAAGGGGGGAGGGGGGCTACTTACCCCGTGTGCTCGCAGGCAAGATGGTGGAGCCCCAATCCTGTAGGCCACTCACTTGGTGGTACGTCTACCCCCAGTGTCCACTCTCATATCACATCCCTCTGAACAGCAGCTCCTCCCTTTTCTTGTTTCCTGGGGCTTCCAGTTCACCTGGTGCTACCAAACTTTGACCTTGCTTTAAATTAGGAGAAGAGGAAGTTGCCTACCAAATTTGGTGGCCTTGGCTCTTACCATTCGTAGGAGTTCCTGAACAAATGGGTTTGCAGGCAGACACACGGACACACTATAAAATATAGAGAGATCAATTGCTGGAGTCTTTCCCTCCCCCTTCTGGTCTTAGTAACATTTAACTCAAGAGAAAGCCCACGACTTACGAACACTAAAGAGAGAGATCTTGGAGTCATTGTGGATAGTTCTCTGAAAACATCCACTTAATGTGCAGCAGCAGTGAAAAAAGCAGGCAGGATGTTAGGAATCATTAAAAAAGGGATAGAGAATAAGACAGAGAATATCTTATTTCCTCTGTATGTAACCATAGTACGCCCAAATCTTGAATACTGTTTACAGTTGTAGTCGCCTCATCTCAAAAAAGGTATATGGGCATTGGAAAAGGTTCAGAAAAGGGCAACAAAATTGATTAGGAGTTTGGAATGGGTCCCAGATGAAGAGCATTTTAAAAGATTTGGACTTTTCAGCTTAGAAAAGAGGAGATGGGACAGAGGGAATATGATAGAGATTTATAAAATCATGACTGGTGTAGAAAAAGTGAATAAGGAAAAGTTATTTACTTATTCCTGCAATATGAGAGCAAGAGGTCACCAAATGCAACTAATAGGCAGCAGGTTTAAAACAAACAAAAGGAAGTTTTTCTTCACTCAGCACACAGTCAATCTGTGGAACTCCTTGCCAGAAGAAGTTGTGAAGACTAGGACTTTAACAGGGCTCAAAAAAGAGCTAGATAGATTCATGGAGGTTAGATCCATCAATGGCTATTAGCCAAGATAGGTAGGAGTGATGTCCCTACCCTGTGTTTGTCTGTAAATGGGTGACAGGAGAGGGATTACATGAGGATTATCTGTTGTGTTCCCTCCCTCTGGGGCATCTGGTATTGGCCACTGTCAGCAGATGCTGGGCTAGATGAAGTTTTGGTCTGACCCAGTATGGCCGTTCTTATGTTAACCGGTGTTTGTTACAGATGGGAGGGACATATAGGATACATCTGCACAGCAGGGCTAAATCGTAATAGCTTATCTTAAATAGTTTAAATAGCGTAGCTTAAATTGAAATAGCTTAATTCAGCTTTTGGTGCTGTCTCCGTAGCAGGAAGTCAAAGGAAGAACACTCTTCCTTCGACTTCCCTTACTCCTCGTAAAATGAGGGTTACCATGAGTCGGAGTAAGAAGTCCTCCAGCTTGACATTATTTCGAAATAAAGGATTGTAGTGTAGATGCAGACTATGTTATTTTGGAATAACACCAAAATAATGCTGCTGTATAGACATACCCATAGTGTCCTAGCACAGTCAGAATACAGTGGCGGTTGGCAGTATGAAGTAAAGATTTTAGATAATGAGTAATCGAATAGTCCACTAACCTCATTAATTCTTAGCAGTTTCTTGATTATTCTGTAATCCCTGGGAGCAGGGCCAGCAGTCCATTTTCCACTCAATTCACTAGCCAAGCAATTGTGATCAACATATTTTCAGGATGCCAGATTTGGAGCACTGAATCAAGCCCTGAATAAGTATCAAATCAGTGAATTTACACTGGACATGTGTGGGATTCTCAGTTGTTGTAAATGGATGTATCTTCATTGAAACCAAGCTCTTTATAAACATCAATACTGACAACATTCCTTGTTAATGTAGGTATCATAGTAAATTTTGCAGCTGGGCATTCTGACATACAAAGGTTAAGTCACTTGTCGAGTGTTACACAATAAACCAAGGGCAAATCTAATGTAGCACATGAATCTTGATACTGACCACTGATGAGGAGGTAACTGAGTGTTGTTCAGAAATGATGGAAATGAAATAAACGTAAATCTTCTGCTGCTGGAAAAGAATAGAGGACGTGGTCCAAAGCTATTGGAGTTTGTAGAAAAACTCCCATTGACCCAATGGGTTTTGACCTTGGTCCAAGGCTCATTAATGCACTCAGAACTGAG